TTTACTTGTTCCGGATCTGAGTTGAAGTCCTGGATATCCTTATTAATTTTGAGTCTAAATCTCGTTATGGGTCTTATGTATCTGGGTATTAAGGTCTCTTATTGTTGCATTGATCCTTTTACCACTGTATCTTTGTTGCTTTGAAATCTATTTTATCAAATGTGAGAATTGCAACTCCTGCTTTTTGTTTATTTATTTATTTTTGCTCTCCATTTGGTTGGTAAATTTTTCTCCAAACCTAGGTTTTGGCTGTATCTTTTGATTGGGGGATTTAGTCGATTTAAATTTAGGGTCACTGCCATTTGATGTTAACTGGCTATTTTATCCATTCGTTGATGTAAATTCATTGATGTAAAAGAGTTTCACTATGTGAAACTGAATGATAAACAAGCTGATCTTATTTCCTAGTGTGTCTGGAATAAATTCAGTTTTTGCTGATGTCTTGGGGTGATTGTTAACTATATTGCCTTTCCATTTTCAAATGCGTTTAAGTTTGGGTGATAAATTCTACAACCACCTTACCAAAAGAGGGCATTTTAAAAATTATAATTGCTTTTGTTGAATTCACTAACATACATTTTGGAAAAACATATTTATAAGGGGCTTGGTGGTTTCACTTCTTTCAATAAATAGTTATTCTATGATCTCAGAATTTGCTTATTCAATGCTTATTTCCCTAAAATAAATGACTAACAATTTAGTGTGTGAATAAAAACGATTAGTAATTATGCAAGAAATTACTATGGCAACATGTCATCAATTATACTTTACACTCTGTTATAAAGCAACATATTTTAAAAAATATATTTGAGCAAATTTTCAACCAAATTGCAAGTTGGTCTGTTTTTATAAATGGATTATTTACAGATCTCTGTCCTTGGTTGCAAGTTACCTTAAAGAGCAAAGATACGTCTGCACTCTGCAGAACTCAAAGCTTAGCACAGAGTATGTGGAGTCTCGGAGCAAACGATGAGATGATGCAACTAAAATAGTCCACTCTGATAAGACAGAGCTAGACCACGAGCAGATCTTTTGCAAGAACTCTGGTGCTCATCATTCCAGAAATGAGATACATCAGGGTCAATAAAGAAAAGACATGTTGTTTCCCTAACATTAAACAGAAAATAAGTCATCCAATACATCATATTGACATAGGACATCACAGGTCAGGAGAAGTGTGTCTCATGAAGAGAAATTGGGGAATACATGTGTTCTATGCTCAGATGACCTTATTTGTTGATGATTTTATCTTATTCTTCAGTCGGCACAGAATTATGATACACTGACTTTGGAATACAAACATTTCATTTCATTAACAATTTTAGGCTAATGAATTAATACAATAGTGATGTACTGAGGACCAACACCGTGCTGAATAAGAACCTGTGTCCTTCAAGTATATGGAAATGATCTCACCCTTTCATTCCTTTATCAAGAATGACTAACTTTGTGCTACCTTCAGGTAAACTGACATCTTTAGGTGTGTTGGCTACTTCATATGCACCTAAGTTAGATTTCTTATGAATCTTATGCCAGAACCTTAGAGAGAAAAGTGTCATTATCATTATTTTATGGATGAAGAAATTTAGCCTGAGGACAGGCGTGGTGGCTCACACATGTAATCCCAGCATTTTAGCAGGCCAAAGTGGGCGGATAGCTTGAGCCCAGGAGTTTGAGAACAGCATGGAAAACATAGACCCTTTCCCTACAAAAAAATACAAAGATTAGCTGGGTGGTATGCCTGTGATCCCAGCTACTTAGGAGGCTGGGATGGGAGCCCGGGAGGTGGAGATCGCAGTGAACCATGATCATGCCATTGCACTCCAGCGTGAGTGACAGAGCAAGACTCTGTTTCAAAAAAACTAAAAATAAAAATTTAAAAATGAAAAAAGAAAGAAGGAAAGAAAGAAAAAGGAGAGAGAGGAAGGGGAGGTGAGGGGAGGACAGAGGAGGGGAAGGGAGGGAAGGGGAGGGGAGGGGAGGGGAGGGAAGGGGAGGGGAGGAAAGGGAGAACTTGAGAGGTACAAAATAATTTTTCTGTTTACATACTCACTGAGGCAAAGCCAGTTTTCACTAATTAATACCCTTTGGAGTATTTCCGGGCAAGAAGATATATTATCTTTCAAGAAAGTTATAAACACAGGACCTCTGAATGTGAATGTTCAGATCTGTGTTGTAATCTAGTCATCACCTGCAAGGACTGGGTCTGGAGTAGAAAAATGATAGTTTCCAAATTAGTTGGATGAGAATTGTAATAAGTGGATTTTTGAAATTACTAAAAGATGATAAAAATGTGTAATTACTTGATAACTGCAACACACATGTGATGATTTCTGTACTGAACTGATCTATTGTTTTACAGCTAAGGAACCCAAGGAACAGTATATCTCATTCATTTACTCAGAGAAAAATGGCGGTTGTTGTGTAAATTAAAATTTCAATGCCCATCTTGGACTTACCACTATTTATAAATGCAAATAAAATATTCTGAGCACTTATTCTGTATCTTGCTCTAGAAATGCAGCAATTAATGGATAAGAACACTGACCCTAATATGGCTCCATTCCTTTAGGCAAAATATGAATGATAAATAAATAAATAAATACAATTGCAGGAGGTTGTGAGTTTAATGGCAGGGGTGGGGATAAGTTCTGAAAAGTGATTGCAGTGAGTGCAGCGGCTTGCAGACTAGAGTATGACTGACATGTTTGAAAAATAGCAGGGAGGCGAGGGCTGTGGTGAGTGAGAGGTCAGAGGGGAAGCACCTGCCAATTCATGTAGGGACCTGGAGTCTTTCGTGATGGCTTTGTGTTCTGCTAAAAAATGGGAGACCACTAGAAGGTTTGAGTTGACAATGACAAGATCTGACTTATATCTTGAAAGGAATACAGTGGAAGTTGTATTGAGAAAAGGCTAAAGTGAAGAAAAGGCAGATAGATAAGAGCAGTACGTTTTATTCCAGTGCTTCTATTGAGAGAGGACCATGACCTGGACCAAAGGGATAGATCGCAGTGTGTGTCCACCATCAGAGTGCACTTCTCAGAACTGACAGCCAAGAGCATTCCGAAATCCATCAGTGGGTCTCAACTGAGGTCATGAGTCCCACAGCCTGCCTAGCCAATGACTGAGAATGGCAGGGTTACAAAGGCAGGCTCATTTCTGGGAGTTGCAGCAATTTTCTGATGAGTGGCTGGACTCTGGAGTGAGGACTCTCTAACGGCCTTGCCAAATAAATCTTGGCACTGCTCTGCAGTCAAGGTTACTTACAATCATGTTCCTTAGACAGTTGAAAATAAAGTCTGGAGTTTCAGGGAGCAATCCAGGTTGGAGACATAAATGGAGGTGGTATTTTATGACATGAGGGATGAGATCACCATGGATTAGACTTATTGAGTGTGGAATAAAAAGAGATATGAGTTCCAAAACTAAGCACTGGAGTGCTCCAAAAATTTATTAATCAAAAATAATTTAAAAGGAGTGGCAATGAGACAGGAGGAAATCCAGAGAATACGGGGTACCTGGAAACTATGTGTTTATTTCCAAACAATCACTACTGATTTCGGAGACGTTGAAGAAAAAGTGAGCTCATGGCTGTACAGTACTTAGCTCAAATGCAATTGTCCCAAAAGCATCACTGAATAGAAATTATTAATCCCCTTTTTAGTATTCAAGTTGAGTAATTCAACACAATAATAACAAAAAAGGTGGCAAAGTTAGATTGGACCCAATTGTCAATGGCCCATTTATTGATGAACTTACCATACACACGCACACATGCACACACGTACACACACACACACACACACACACACACGAGAAAGGACCTATTCTATGCCACACAATAACTTTTGGGAAGTGTTCTGTGTGGTGAGTTTAGACAGTATCTGACTTCCAGTATCATTCCAGGAAGCCTGTAGCCCAACACTCCTCATATAAAAAGGCACTCATCCATTATACTGCTTTCAAACTTGAATGTAGGAGCCAGTACAAGATTGATTAAATGTATATTTGAGAAATATTTTGGCATGGCATTATTTCTGTACTTTCTGAATAAGAATAAAAATCAAATGTCTTTCATTTCAATAACAAGGATTCAAATACAGTTCTAGGAAACCATCCTGAGAAGGTTTAATTACAAAAAAATACAGGTAGTGTGATAAATAGGGATCAACTCGTAGAAAACAGAATGGTAAAAGACTGTAACAGACACGTTCATCTAACATGCATGTGTGTGCCAACGCAGGCATCTCACATTTGTGCTTAGCAAATGCATGCACCAAATAGAGCATTTTTCTGTAAGGAGGAAGTCTGTGACATACTGATGGGGATGTTACTTTGTCTTTTAGCAAACTTCATTTAGTATAATAATGCATCCCCTGGGGTTATTCTCCATGGTTCTTGGTTCTGCCTTCTAGCCTTGGTTCTGTTCTCTAGGTCATCCTTCCTTTCCTATATCATAAGACATGGGTTATAGTGAATAGCCTTCCTGGAGAGCTTCCTGTGTAGATACTAAGGTCTAAGGACCTCTTTTATAGTTTACTGTCTCTATTTCTTTCAACTAATGCTGTTGGGGGTTTTACTAGTACAATTTGGTTACCAACTTTGTGATGATTTTTATAAATTTTATTAAAATGTACTCTATTTAGACATCAAGCCACAATGATAAATCTTTAACAGATTACTTTCTCTGCTGTGGTCCCTTTACACTCTTAGAATCTCTATTGTTTAAAAGGGATTGTATGTGAGCCACATACACATGATCATTAGAAAAGGCTTTTGTCTCTAAGAAAGGGCCCGTGAGTTACCACCTTAAACTCTGAGGTTATAGAAGAGTCTTTATAGTCACCTTTCAAAGACTCAAAACAGCAATACTTGTATTTGCTTGTGTTTTGGTTATATAAGGGGTCTGAAGTTATATGCAGGGTCATTACAGTCACATCTCACAGCCTTAAAGCAGACATTTCTGCTTTAAGACATTTTATTTGCTTGTGTTTTGGCAGATCAGGAATTCCAAAGAACTTGGCTGGACAGTTCTTACTTCGAAGACTTTAACGTCCCTCACTACCTAGCAGTTGATGCTGATCACCAGCTGAGAACTCACCTGTGGTTCTCTGCTGGAGGCCTGACATGACTCTCCAGGACAGTGATCTCAGGTACTCAGACTCCTTACATAGCAGCTATCTTCCTTCACAGTAACCCATGCAAGCAAAGAGATCATGAAGAAATGACATGGTCTAATCTGACCTGTGCTCACAAGTTACACAGAGTAACTTTTACTTCATTCTGCTGGTTACAACTGAGTCACTAAGGCTGGTCCAGGATCAATGTCTCTTTACAAAGGTGACGTTTTAGAAGAGAGCTGAAAGAAGAGCGGCAAAATATAGGTCAGTCTGGAGGAAAAGGAATTCAGAAAAAGATAGAAGGAGAGCAACAAAGAACAGTACTTAGAATGTCTGTGTGCATAAGAGGAAATCAGAGTGCAGCAGGAAGCCCGGTCTTTAAAGGTTATGTAAACTGATGTAAACAAAGTAAGATCAAAATCAGAGGAATACTTGAGATGAAGACATATTATGCCCAAATTAATGTTTTAAATGTGTTCCTCTCCAGCAATGAGGAAACCAGGGTGTGAGGAAACAAGAGTATATTCAGGGAGATTTGTGAGGGTTTACTGCAATCATTCAGATGAGAAATGATGATGGCTTGAATAAACTGAGTATAGAGAAGGTGATTAGAATTATTTGCACTCAGAATACCCTTTCAATGTAGAGCTGCTAGAATTCATTGATGAATTAAATGTGAGGTCTGAGAGAAAGAAAAGGGTTCAGAATTTTCAAGACATCTTCCCATAATTTCTTCCTACATGAAAAAAGTTGGTACTTCCTCAGATAAGAAATACTGTGGTTGAAGAAACTGGAGATAAAATTGAAGAAATTCTATGATGAAGAAGTTGTGGGCAAAAGTGTGGATAATTCTAACTGTATATTATGTGATACACACACACACACAGACACATATGCACACACCCCTAGAGTAAACAATTAGACATGCATTTAAAAGTCTAACATTAACAATCCTATTAAAAAATCATCTGTCTATGGAAATTGCAATAAACTATACAACACATTTGAAAATATAAATTTTAAGATACAATTCTGTAAAGATGTTACTTGTCTTTAATTTGATCTATATATTTGGTTTCAGCTTAGTCTAAAGATGATTAAAATGTGATAATAACAAGTAAAATTAAGATTATCATAAAAGCTTCATTATCTGAAATGTATTAGATAATTCTAAATTAATATGCAGAGTGAGAACCAAGAATAGCCGAGACTACTAAACAATGGTTTAGAATTTCCTCAACCATGTATCAAGTATTTAGTATTTCCTGAACCTTAAGTCAACCATACATATTAAAAAACTATCTATAATAACTGAGACAATATTACATCAATGAAAAGGAAGACTGATAAGAAAACAGTACAAAAAAAAAGCTCAAAAATAGACTCAAACTTTTATAGACTCTAGACTAATAAAATGTTGGTACTCTTAAAGTAGTAGGAAAATTTGTTACGTGATTAAAAATACATTTATATAAAAAGTATATATATAATATATAATAAATTATATATAATGATTATGTAACATAGTGTGCATATAATTTACATAACATTGATGTATAATATGTATATATATCACACATGAATATAATCACATTTTACTACCCCATATCATAAGGAAAGTGAATTCTAAATGGATTTGAGAAATCAATGCAAAAGAGAATACACAAGATAAGAATACTTTCATGGTTTTAGTTTAGGAAAAGATTTCTGAAGCTAGACACAAAAAGTCTTAATATAAAAGGAAAGTATTAATGAATTAGATCTCATATTTGTCAGGCAAGTGATAAATACCAGATAATATATTATCTTTGTGATTACCCATATAGTAATCACAGAGGATTTAGACCCAGAATATATAAAGAAATACTGTAAATCTATAACATAACATTGAAAATCTATTTAATAGCAGATAATCCAATAGAATAACAGTGTAGGAGACTTGAAAATAAATTTCATAAACCAGGATACATGAAATGTAAATACACATATCAAACAATATTCAACCTTATTACTAATCAAGAACATTAAAATTATGTGCCCACGAGAATGGCTAAAATTAGCAAATGTCTGTTCCAATTGATGAGAAGGATGTAGTGAGAAGCTAAATTAGCACAATCACTAAAAAGAAAAAAATCAGCCTTTTTTACTAAATTTGAGTATGTGAAGTATCAACTATGCTTCAACAGAAATATGAACACAAGTGCATTAAAAACTTTTTTATACTTTAAAAAATATTGGTTTTATGCTTAGAAAAAAATTCATATGACCATTAAGAGAATTGACAAAAATATGATTTATTTACACAATAGAATGAAAATGAACAAAGTAAAACTACTTTCATATAGATGGATCTGCCAAATATGTTGAATAAAAGTGGGCAGAAAAACGTTCATAATTAAGCTATAACTCTAGAAGAAACTTACAAATTCAGAAATTAAGCTATAGCAATCTTGAGGTAAAATGGAGAAAACTGTTAATGAGATAGAAAATAAAATGCCTCATCTGATACTGTCAGTGCCCTATTTTTGGTGCCTTTTGGTATTGGTACACTGCTGTTAATTTCATGGTAATTCTTTGAACTGAGCTAACTCTTGTGTTTTTGTACTTTGCTTTGGCTGATATTTTGCAATACAGGTTTGCTACACAGGTATACATGTGACATGGTAGTTTGCTGCACCTATCAACCCATCATCTTGGTTTTAAGCCCTGCATGCATTAGACATTTGTCCCAGTGCTCTCCCTCCTTTTTCCCCCAACCCCCTGACAGGCCCCAGTGTGTGATGTTCCCCACTCTGTGTTCATGTGTTCTCATTGTTCAATTCCCATTTATGAGTAAGAACATGTGGTGTTTGGTTTTCTGATCCTGTGTTAGTTTGCTGAGGACAATGGTATCCCGCTTCGTCCATGTCCCTGCAAAGGATATGAACTCATTCTTTTTATGGCTGCATAGTATTCCATGGTGTATATATTCCACATTTTCTTTATCCAGTCTACCACTGATGGGCATTTGGGTTGGTTCCAAGTTTTGCTATTGTAAATAGTGCTGCAATAAACATACATGTGCATGTATCTTTATAGTAGAATGATTTATAATCTTTTGGGTATATACCCAGTAATGGGATTGCTGGGTCAAAGGATATTTCTGTTTCTAGATCCTTGAGGAATCACCATACTGTCTTCCACAGTAGTTGAACTAATTTACACTCACACCAACAGTGTAAAGCATCCTATTTCTCTATAGCCTCACTAGCACCTGTGGTTTCCTGACTTGTTAATGATTACCATTTTAACTGGCCTGAGATGGTACTTCATTGTCTTTTTGATTTTCATTTTTGTAGTGACTAGTGATGATGAGATTTTTTTTCATATGTTTGTTGGCTGCATGAATATCTTTTGAAAAGTGTCTGTTCATATTCTTTGCCAACTTTTTGATGGAGTTGATTTTTCTTGTAAATTTAAGTAGATTCTTGACATTAGATATTTGTAAAATGGGTAACTTGCAAAAATTTTCTTCCATTCTGTAGTTTGCCTGTCCAATCTGATGATAGTTTCTTTTGCTGTGCAGAAGCTCTTTAGTTTGATTAGATCTCATTTTTCAATTTTGACTTTTGTTGCAATTGCTTTTGGTGTTTTAGTCATGTAGTCTTTGCCCATGCCTATGTCCTGAATGGTAATGTCTAGGTTTTCTTCCAGGGTTTTTATGATTTTCAATTTTACATTTAAGTCTTTTATCCATTTTGAGTTAATTTTTGTATACAGGATATGGAAAGGATTCAGTTTCTGTTTTTTGCATATGGCTAGCCAATTTTCCCAGCACCATTTATTAAATGGTGAAACCTTTCCCCATTGCATGTTTTTGTCAGATTTGCCAATGATCAGATGGTTACAGATGTGTGGTGTTATTTCTGAGGTTTCTGTTCTGTTCTATTGGTCTACATATCTGTTCTGGTACCAGCACCATGCTGTTTTGGTTATTGTAGCCTTGTAGTATATTTTGAAGCTAGGTAGTGTGATGCCTCCAGCTTTGTTCTTTATGCTTATGATTATCTTGGCTGTATGGGCTCTTTTTTGGTTCCATATGAAATTTAAAGTAGTTTGTTTTTTCTAATTCTGTGAAGAAAGTCAATGGTAGCTTACTGAGAATAACATGCAAGACTAATTTTTTAAATAACAAATACAACCATTTACATAGGCAAGGTACCACAATGGCCTGCTCTTTAGCTGTCTTTATTGATTCTGTTAGGCTATTCTCCTTTGCTCTTGGTGCTGCTATTCATACTGGCCTTCTTTTATTCCCCAGGACTTACTCAAGAAAGGCCCGTGCTCCCTCTCACCACTGGGATTTGTACTTGCTGTTGACTTTCTTCATCATGTTCTTATTCTTTGGATAAAGTCAGTCGTTCCCTTTTTTGGTAAAACTTTTCTTGATCTTCATTTCTAGGTCAAAACAACTTTAACCTCATATGTAAGCTTCACAAATTTTTAAATAACCATGATCTTCTAAAATTTTTTCTTGTATTATAAATTTAATAATACATTTACTACTATTATTATTATTTGATTAACATCCTGAAATGTCTTGTTTTGAAGAACAAATGATATAAAATTATTAAATCACCAAGAATGATGTTTGATGTCACATACATTCCTAAAAAAACCAATTATTTTTATTATTGTTTAGCATGATCTCAGAGAGTAAGAATCGCCCAAAGTAATTTGCCCAGACAGTTAATAACCATCAGACTCATAAATTATCTTTTATTTAATTGCAATTTTTTAATATGGAATTTTGCAAAATAGGATATGTGGAAAAAGTATACTTGCTTATGCTAGGTATAACCCATAGGATATGATTTAACAGCCCAAGTACTTTCTCAATATACCTTCTCTTAAATAATATCAGTGCTGTATTTTCATAAAGTATTTGACAAGAATGTAAAAATAAACAGTAAACTGAATTGATTATAATCAATTTTCAGTTCACTTAGGCTGGCTATCTTTTTCAAACACATGCACACACACACATGCAATTGGATATACTGGTCTCTAATTGCTATTATTTATTTAGATTTTCTTTCAGGCATTCTATTGGACATATCAAATGTGTTATTTATAACCCTCACAAAAACGCAATGCAATATATAATGCTATACTTTTTTTATATGGGAGTAAACTATCATCAGAGAGTGAAATAGATTGCTAAAGGCCACAGAGAAAGCAAATAGCTAAACCAAAATTTAAACCTAGTTTATGTCTCTAATGCTTGTGCTTTTTTGTATCCATCACTCTTCCTCTCAAAAAACAATTGTGAAATTGTGATTCAATATTAGCATGTAATATAATCTAAGGATATATTAAAATGCTAAATAATAAGAATCAAAGGATTGAAGGCTATAACCAAAGTGATTAAGTGATATTTAATTTGCCTGCTATTGGATTATTCTCAGGATCTCTGTACAACTTAAGTTTGCATCTGCCGTGTGTACATTTTAGTTCTTTCTGTTTGTTGAGGTAGGCATTCTAAATCTAAATGGCAAGTGTAGTTATTTTTTGCTTTATATTCCTGAGTATTTTAAGAAACATTATCTGAATAACTCCAAATTGGAATTGACCTAAGTTGTCAGAAATCCCCATTCCCTTTTTCAGTGTATAACATAGGAAAGGTTTTTGTATTTTGATGTTACAATGAAACACACAGAATAAATTTCCTTCCCTCCCTCCATTCCTCCCTCCCTCCCTCCCTCTCTCCTTCCCTCCCTCCCTCCCTCCTTTCCCTCCCTCCCTCCC